ATAGCTTGGATCACCCATTCCATTACTGACATACACATCCAACTTATCAATCATCTCAATCTCCATCTACAGTAGTAAAGAGAAGAAGAGATAGACAAGCTTCATTGATATAAACAGAGTCCAATTTCCTTACTCTGTGAAAGTTCTTGTTGTACTTCCATTCGTGTTCCATCATGTCAAAGAAAACTGGTATGGTTGCCTTCCTCAGGCCTTAAAAATAAAAATAAATGAATAAATAAATGGATACAAGTATTGTACATGTGCACTGTATTAGGATGCTAATGATTACCTTCATGAGGTAGTAAACTGACTTTAAGGAAAGGACCAACCATTCCAGGGACAAAATTGGCTTGGAAATTACCTAAAAATTATAAAAAATAAAGAACAAGCTTTCTTCAGTATCTTCAAACTAGTAAATAATACTGTACTTGCATTACAAGTACATGTAAATCTCTCCTCTCTCTCTCTCTCTCATTTCCATCCATTACCTAACATCCTCCACTTATCAAGCATCAGTGTGTTCATTGTTAGCCTCATGTCTCCATAAAGGTCAAGAATTCGCTTTCTCTTAAGCTCTGTCATCTTCTCAAGCTGGAGCGACGGCTGACAGCAGAAATCAACGCACAAATTAAAGAACCTCTCCCAGAGCTACAAGAAAAAAAAGAGAGAAAGTTAAACTCAAACTCACAATATGTACAACTTACATTGCAGTTGAAGAATACAGTTGAAGTTCCCTCTATATCATCAAGATACTCTTCAACTAGTATTCTAGCAATCTGCTTCACAGCTCCAAGTATTATACTAGAGAATGGATGGGATTATAAAGGTTACATTGCGTTGTTATGCTGTAGGATTGATACACTCACTGATTGTGCAGGAGTCTTAGTGAAGACCATTCTTGAGGATGTAAAGCAGTTACTGATATTATCTCAGAGTAAGTATAAAAGGTGGTAAGAATGAATTCCTAATAGAACACACAAAAAGAAGAAATCATTAAAATGATGAACCACCAAACACAGTAAAAGTACTACAAAATTATCAAATCTACTGCAACTTTTGGTCTGTATTTTAGTATGCTGGTCTGTATTTTAGTATGCTGGTCTGTATTTTAGTATGCTGGTCTGTATTTTAGTATGCTGGTCTGTATTTTAGTATGCTGGTCTGTATTTTAGTATGCTGGTCTGTATTTTAGTATGCTGGTCTGTATTTTAGTATGCTGGTCTGTATTTTAGTATGCTGGTCTGTATTTTAGTATGCTGGTCTGTATTTTAGTATGCTGGTCTGTGTTTTAGTATGCTGGTCTGTATTTTAGTATGCTGGTCCGTATTTGTACTATAGTCCATGGACTTTGGC